AGATTTGGGGACTGTGCGGGTGGCCGTCCCATGCGGGTGTCCGACCCAGGTTTCTGTTTTAATAAAGGAAGTGTGATCGGTGTCCGTGGTCCGGAGAGGTTTGTGAGGGTGAAGTTTTGGACGCGGGGGATTATTGGTGTTTAAGGTTACAGCCTCGGCTGCTGTTGGGACAGAAGGCCTTAGGGCCCAGGGTACTATTTCCAATCTTTCTCTGTGTGTGTGTGTGTTTTTTTTAACTTTTATTTTTATTTTATTTATTTATTTATTTATTTTTAAATATATTTTATTGATTTTTTACAGAGGAAAGGAGAGCGAGATAGAGAGTTAGAAACATCGATGAGAGAGAAACATCCATCAATTGCTTCCTGCACACCACCCACTGGGAATGTGCCCGCAACCAAGGTACATGCCCTTGACTGGAATCGAACCTGGGACCTTTCAGTCTGCAGGCCAACACTCTATTTACTGAGCAAAACTGGCCAGGGCCCGGCTAGGGCTTTTTAAATCACTGTCTATAGTAGGATATTTGGCTGATTCCATTCTTTTAAAAATATATATATATAGTTTTATTGACTTCAGAGAGGAAAGGAGAGGAAGAGAAGATGGAAACCTCAATGTTAGAGAAACATCAATCTGCTGCCTCTTGCAGGCCTTGACCAGGAATCAAACCAGCAACCTCTTGGTGCATGAGACAACACTCAATCCGCTGAGTCATTGTATGCCTTAACGGAGCCTGTCCATTGTCTTTTTTTTTTTTTGAAGGTTTTTTTTTTTAATTTTATGTAAAAAGATATAGCATTCTGTCATAAGGTATATGTCTTAAATGACTCATTCATGGACGTTCACTTAGTCCAACTTAACGAATCCTATGTCCTTCGCATACTGACCGAAACACTGGTGGCACAGGTTGAGGCCTTATTTCCAGATCAGACCGTGGAGGTTTGAGCAAACCCAGCAAGAACGAGAACCCTGGCCGAATTTCCTCGGATGGCTCCAGTAGAGCTGCTGGTGACCCATCTGACCCTCTCTGTAGCAACGAAGCAAATAGGCTGTCCATTGTCTTTTTGCATCAAAGATAACATACCTTTGGAATGTCGGGTTAAATTTTTTTTTCCAGACCCCCTCAGGACCCAATCTCCCATAGAGCAAGCGATTTCAGAGTTCATCATTGTTATTGTTATCACATTAATTATTAACTGTCAACTGTCCTACCCCACCTTCATAGAGGAAGTATGTGTCTATTTCTTTTACTTTTTACCCAGTCCCAGAGAATTCCCTGCTTTGCTTTCTCCCCCTTCCCTAATCTCTCACCAGTGGATTTGATGTCACCCTCCTTTTCTTTGATTCTGATGTATAAAATAAGGTGCAGAACTCTTGTTCTGTAAAGCAGTCTTAATCCGTTCTTATTTTGCTTCCTGGCAATTGTTTTCAGTTTGACTCAAATCAACTCAGAAAAATTCTCTACAGGTTTGGACGTATCTTAAGACGACACCAGGAACAATAGAATAATGTTCTTTTATTCTAGGAAGAAGCAGGGGGAAGCTGCAGGGTTGGGTATCAGCATTTCCTGGGACATACCTGACTGAAGACAGATTTCTGAGCAGAAGTTTAGAGCAGACCCCAAACACACCAAGACAGAGCCTCCCAGTTGCCAGCTCTTTTCAGAGAACAGAAGAACATGCTCCAGGCTCAGGTGATTGGGTTTGTTTTCTCTTTCTTCAGTAACGGATTTGCAGAAGTCCATAAAAACCAACTTCATGCCCAGCCGAGTGGCACAATTGGTCTGTACACCAAAAAGGTTTCAGGTTCGATCCCCGGTCAGGGGCACATAAGGGAAGCAGCCAAAAGATGTTTCTCTCTGTGTGTCTCTAACTTTCCCTTCCTCTCTCTCATAAATCAGTAAAAATAAAAAAAATTCTTGGGTTTGGATTTAAAAAAATCTGGAAAAAATATATACATATATTTTTATATTCATCAATCATTAATCATATATTCATTAATCTGGAAAAAATATATACATATATAGTCTCAAATATATGACTTAGAATATATGAAAGGTATTTTCTAGGCTAACAAAAAAATTTAACTTCTTTACATTATAGTAACACCTAATTGGATGAATTCATAGATGAATGAACAATTATAAAATAGTATTTTACGAGGCATGTGGTTATTCCAGTGTATATAAAATAAAACCCCATTCACTATATAGATGCAGCCTATAAAGTGAAAATGATCAGAAAAATAACATTTTTTCCATAGCATCTTTTTTTTTTAATATATCTTATGGATTTTTTACAGAGAGGAAGTGAGAGAGAGAGAGAGTTAGAAACATCGATGAGAGAGAAACATCGATCAGCTGCCTCCTACACACCTCCTACTGGGGATGTGCCCACAACCAAGGTACATGCCCTTGACTGGAATTGAACCTGGAACCTTTCAGTCCGCAGGCCGACACTCTATCCACTGAGCCAAACCGGTTAGGGCTCCATAGCATCTTAAAAGACTTCATGCCATTGCCCTAGCCGGCTTGGCTCAGTGGATAGAGCGTCAGCCTGTGGACTGAAGGATCCCAGGTTCGATTCCGGCCAAGGGCACATGCCTGGGTTGTGGCTCGATCCCCAGTGAGGGGTGTGCAGGAGGCAGCTGATCAATGATTCTTTCTCATCATTGATGTTTCTATCTCTCTCTCCTTCTCTCTTCCTCTCTGAAATCAATAAAGAAATATATATATTTTTAAAAAGAATGTATCTGTCGAAGGGAAAATGGGATACATCTGTAATACTGTCAACACTAAATATAAATATATTAAAAAAAAAAAAAGACTTCACGCCATTAAACAGCACGGTGTTGTTACAGGAATCCCTGACATTTCACGATGTGGCTGTGGAGTTCACCTCGGAGGAGTGGCAGCTCCTGGACCCTGATCAGAAGGACCTGTACAGGGACGTGATGATGGAGACCTACAGCCACCTAATGGCCCTGGGTGAGGACAACTTCCCTGTGTCACTCAGACGCTTGCCCTGTTAGTGGCTTTTTCCTTTCTCAGCTGCTTAACTTCCAGAATAACTCCAGTTCTCTGACATGATGCAATCTCAGATCCTTCTCTTGCCCCACGCAAGATATTATAATGTCCCCTGTCCTAATAGAAAAATTATTGTGTTAGCTGTAAAAACTGTTCATTCTCCCTTCTTGACAAATCCCACCCAATTCAGTATGTCTAAGTCTTTTGTCGTTTTTTTCTTGCGCAGGATATCAAGCCCCCAAACCAGACGCGCTCTCCAAATTAGAACGAGGGGAGGAACTGTGGATAGTACAGGATGAACTCCACTGTCCAGTCTTTCCAGGTGAGGGGGTGAGAGCCAGCAAGGTGGGCGGCCGGGAAGTCACATTCTAGTCAGAAATGGCATCAGAGCAGTGACAGTGAATGAGGAAACTCAAACCATTCTTCCACATATGAGAACCCTTTTTTTCTTTGTAAAAATTTGGAATTTAACATACCCCATTTGTCTCTTCTGAGCTCTGACCCATTTATTTTTTCTACTCTTGTTTTTGTTTGTGTGGTTTTCTTTGCCCTATGATTCCCAGATCTTTTTTAAAAAAATATATTTTATTGATTTTTTACAGAGAGGAAGGGAGAGGGATAGAGAGTCCAAAACATCCATGAGAGAGAAACATTGATCAGCTGCCTCCTGCACACCTCCCACTGGGGATGTGCCCACAACGAAGGTACATGCCCTTGACCGGAATCGAACCTGGGACCCTTCAGTCTGGTCAGGGCGATTCTCAGATCTTTTTTATTTCTTTATCCACAGCCACACTGTCTCTGCCTATGTTAGCACCTCTCTTGCTATGAAATTCCACTTTCCAGGCCTCTCTGGAAAGACAGAACTTTGAATTCATCACCTTTTTCTTAGTATATATTTTATTGACTTCAGAGAGGAAGGGAGAGGAAGGAAGAGACAGAAACATCAGTGATGAGAAAGAATCATTGATCAGCTGCCTCCTCACACCCCACACTGGGGATTGAGCCTGCAACCCGGGCATGTGCCCTGACTGGGAATTGAACTGTGACCTCCTGGTTCATAGGTCAACACTCATCCACTGAGCCAGGCAATTCATCATTTTTTTTTACGACGGGGCCTACCTGCTCTGTTGGAAAATGGTGATTTTCCTCCATAACATCCAACCCCATCTTGGATGGTGGGTTCCCGTGATAACCTCATTTTCACAGTTGCATTTATGTGTTCTTTGCCTTGGTCCCATCAAGGTTCTTCATACTCAGTTCTCATCAGTATTAAACATCTCCTCGATTCCCATGAGTTGACCTCTTTCTGTTCTGTGAAATGGACTCCCAAATTGACTACTCCCTCAGTATTGTCTAATGGAGAATCTGACAGAGACCTGGAGATAGAACTAATAGATAGGGGTGTCTTTAACTGGTTTCCTCTCTAAACATCTTGAGATGAGGTTGAAAATCAAAACAATTTTGTATCTGGAATTGAACCAGGAAGATTGATCTGTTTGGGTCAAGTTCAATTTGGAAGATATTTTTATGGGCCTGTTTTACTTTAAGAAATGTGTACAATCAAACCGGTTTGGCTCAGTGGATAGAGCGTCGGCCTGCGGACTGAAAGGTCCCAGGTTCGATTTTGGTCAAGGGCATGTACCTGGGTTGCGGGCACATCCCCAGTAGGGGGTGTGCAGGAGGCGGCTGATCAATGTTTCTCTCCCATCCATGTTTCTAACTATCTCTCTCCCTTCCTCTCTGTAAAAAATCAATAAAATATATTTTTAAAAAAGAAGAAAAAAAAAGAAATGTGTACATTTAGTGTTTGGTAAAATTTACTAGTCCATATAACTGTTTTCCAGTTTGAGTCTGAACTGAGATTCAGATGTTCCTAGCGGGTAGCGTAGAGATCACCAGAAATTCATTTGAAGGATCAGTTTTCAGGAGAAGTTTGGCCCAAAGCTACACATAGGGCAGGATTAAAAGGGGGCAAAAGGCAAGCGTAATCAATGAAGCTAATTAATGAAGTCCTGGACCAAATGAGAGATTGGGGAAAATTGGTGTGAATGGATCTTTTTAGATGTAGAGGAGGTAATTCTTTGGGTGGGGGAGGAAAGGTGAAAGTTCAGAAAAGAAAGGCAAAGAATAAATCCACTGTTTAGTGGTCGAATAAAGGTACTCATGCTGTTTACTCTTCCCTAAAGCCAAAATCTTGAGTGCAGTGGGGTTGGGGTAGGGATGGAGGGGCGTGGAGGTAGAAAAATTTGTCTAATGTCCACTTTCTTTCTATGTATTTTACTCATCATCATGGCAGCTGGCCTCTGACTTCTCTTTTTTGTGTGTGTGAGAGCAGCAATCATCTTTCCTCCATTCTATTTTAAATTTAGGTTGTTTTCCTGCACTATACATTTTCAATTCTGTCCATCCTGGCATCACCTGGGATGTTCTTTACACGTTTAGCTCTCTTCTTAAAGGTCTGTACCATTTCATTCGATTAAGTAGAAAAGATCTTGTTAGCATGCTCCGTGAGTTTCAGCCTAACCTACATCATAACTGCTGCATGTGACTTATTTCCCAGTTTTCCTAATTCAGATTTTTCTTCATTCTTAGAAAATGAATGGCTGCATTCATTTTTTTAAAGCTTTTGTTTTCACATTATATGTTTTAAAAATATTTTTTTATTGATTTCAGAGAGGAAGGGAGAGGGGGAGAGAGCTAGAAACTTCAATGATGAGAGAGAATCATTGATCGGCTGCCTCCTGCACGTCTCACACTGGGGAATGAGCTCAAAGCCTAGGCATAATCAGAGAAAGATAAATATCACATGATCTCACTCATTTGTGGAATATAACGAACAACATAAACTGATGAACAAAAATAGATCCAGAGACATAGAAGCATCAAACAGACCATCCAACCTAAGAGGGAAGGCAGGGGAGAGGGTGGAAGCGATCAACTAAAGGACTTGTATGCATGCATATGAGCATAACCTATATGGACACAGACAGTAGAGGGGGGTGAGGGCATGTGCTGGGGAGTGGGAGCAGTGGGGAGAGGTCAATGTGGGAAAAAGGAGACTTATGTAATACTTTAAACAATAAAGAATTTAAATTTAAATAAATAAAAATTTAAAAACCTGGGCATGTGCCCAAACCGGGAATTGAACCATGACTTCCTGGTTCATAGGTCAATACTCAACCACTGAGTCACACCGGCAGGGCCACATCATATTTTTAATGGTTTTACTTAGATTAAATTCACAGACCATACAATTTACCTATTTAAAACATGTAATTAAATTAAATATGATTCACTGGGTTATAGTATATTGAGAGAAGCATATCGATTGGTTGCCGCTTGCACAAGCCCCACCAGACTGTGGCCGGGAGAAGCCTGCAACTGAGGTATGTGACCTTGACCAGAATCAAACCTGGGACCCTTGGGCCCACAAGCTGAAGCTCTATCCAAACCGACTAGGGCTCTAATTTGGTCTTTAATTTCTTAAGTCTCATTAAAAAAAAAAAGTTTTACAGTTCGTTTTCTTTTTTTCTTTTTTTAAAATATATTTTATTGATTTTTTACAGAGAGGAGGGGAGAGGGATAGAGAGTTAGAAACATTGATGAGAGAGAAACATCGATCAGCTGCCTCTTGCATGCCCCCTACTGGGGATGTGCCCGCAACCAAGGTACATGCCCTTGACCGGAATCGAACTTGGGACCCTTGAGTCCACAGGCTGACGCTCTATCCGCTGAGCCAAACCGGTTAGGGCAACAGTTCCTTTTCTTAAGTTTGTTCCTAAGTATGAGATTCTCTTTTATTATTTACTAAATGGTATTGTTTGCATTTTCAGACTATCCTTTGCTAGGATATAAAAATAAAATTTATTATTTTCCCATCATGTTCAAATGACACTTCCTCCCAGGTAAACAAGTTTCTTGTCATATAAAATTGCAGGTTATCTTTCAGTGATCTCTGTGATACGCTGTCATCTTGATGAGAAAGTTTCTGTCATCTTCCTAAACACTGTTTAATGTGTTCCATACTTGTGATTGCCTTATTTCTTTAAAACTTGCATTTTAAAAAAATACGTTTTTATTGATTTTAGAGAGGAAAGGAGAGGGTTAGAGATAGAAACATTGATGAGAGAGAAACATCGATTGGCTGATTCCTACACGCCCCCTATTGGGGATCAAACCTGAAACCTGGGCATGTGCCCTGACCGGGAATGGCTCCCATGACCTCTTGGTTCATGGGTCGATGCTCAACCACTGAGCCACACTGGCCTGGCTAAAACTTGCATTTTGAGAGCCTAATATTTTTGAAGTTATCAGCAGTACAAAAGATAGATGCCCTGTCCAGCGTGCTCAATGGTTATAGCGTTCAGGATTGGATTGCTGGTTTGATCCCCACCCTTGGTAGGGGGGCATGTGGAAGGCAACCAATCAATTTGTCTGTCACATTGGTGTTTCTCTTCTCTCTCTCTCTCTCTTTCTCCCCTTCTCCCCTCACTTCCAATCTCTTTAAAAAATCAATGGAAAGCCCTGGCGAGTGTGCTGTGGTTAGAGTATCAGCTCTTGAACCAAAGGGTCAGGGGTTTGAGTCCCAGTCAAGAACATGTCGTACCTCAGTTGCAGATTCATTCCCCGCACCAGGTCGGATGTGTGAGGGAGGCAACGAGTTGATATGTCCCTCTCACATCAATATTACTCTTTCTCTTTCCTCCTCCCTCCCTCTTCTACTCTCTCTGAAAAGCAATGGGAAAAATGTTTTGCCCTAGCCAGTTTTGCTCAGTGGATAGAGCATTGGCCTGCAGACTGAAGGGTCCTGGGTTTGATTCTGGTCAGGGGCACAGGCCTAGGTTGCGATTTTGTTCGCCGGTAGGGGACATACAGGAGGCAGCCGATAGATGATTCTCTCTCATCATTGGTGTTCCTATCTCACACTCCCTCTCCCTTCCTCTCTGAAATCAATAAAAATCTATTTTCAAAAAAAATGTCTTCAGGTGAGGATTAACAAAAACAAAAAAATCAATGGGAGTTCAGCTGGTGTGACTCAGTGATTGCGTGTCATCCTATGAACCAGGTAAAAACAGGAAGTCACAATTAGATTTCTAGTCAGGGCACATATCCAGATTGCAGAATCAATTTCTGTTAGGGGCATGCAGGAGGCAGCTGATCAACATTTTCCCCGAATATAGATGTTTCTCTCCATCTCCTTCCTCTATCTTAAAAAAAATAAATCCTGGCCCATGTGGTTCGGTTGGAGAGTTGACCTGTACATAAAATTGTTGGAGGTTCACTCCTGTTGGGGGTCAGGGAATATTCCTAGGTTGCGGG